CTTACTAAATTTTTAAAATAAATGCTAAGCAAAGAACTGACGAGGGAAAAGTTCGAATATATTACTTAATCTCTTCCAGACGATTGAATTGTGAACAATGATAACTCATTTGCATTGTGATCAATTCAAAAAACACGTTGAAATTGTCTAAAAAATAAAGGTTGATGAATATAATGAGAAGGTAAATATGAATACAATAAAGAACAACGAGTGATATGGATAATTATGTAATAAAACCATGGTCGAGGTCCCTAAAGAAACCATTCTGTGAAGAAAGCAGGATTATTATTGTCATTATGAACAAAAGCGAATAACAAATGTTGACTAAGATCGATAAGCGATGTTAATATAACTGAATCATAAGAATGATTGACGAAAAATTGTCGTGAAGCGACTCCCATATAACGAGATAATTTTGTTGATACAGGAGTAATAAATGTGCATAAACAGATTGTTAATGAGTAGAAAATAATTCTGATATTCGTACGATTAACTCTTACATATTCTGCAACACATTCATCATACATTTCTGTTGCTCCAAAAGATAAGGAATGCACGACAATTCCATTTAAAGTAATTAAAGAACGAATAACATAGAAAAAATATGAATGCGATAATATTCGCTGAGCAATATTATGTTCAATTATAAAGAATGTTCTTTCATCCGAACGTAATGTTAGTAATGCAGAATATCGTAAGAAATCGAAGGGATAATTAGTATTAGGAATAAAATCATATGCAGAATCATACCTATACTGTGCCATTGTAACTTCAATTGGATTAAAGTGGACAATAAAAAGTACTAATTGTATCAATATTGCACGGAAAGAATCGACAACAAAGAAGTCGTCTAAGCCTGGTGCAATAATCGGGTTATTTACAATACTATAAACTATTCACGAAAATACAATGAAAAATCCAAACAAAATATTTTGCAACGATATGAACGAATTTGGTGGAGTGTGGACATTCCGAGGATAATAATTTCGAAGCACAGGATAAAAAAATTGTGTTCCTGCCGAACGGTAGAATCGGATATGTCTTTGTCATGTGCTCGAAGGAAGATTCATTCTTGAATTCAAAAATGAATTTTAGAAATTATAACTTAAGCAGTCGTCAAACTTCTAAATGTGAAATCATGTTGTCCTGTTTTTCCACCAACATAAAAAAAATATACAGAATACACAAAACATATATAAGAACTGAATGAGTATGTATAAATATATGAAAAAATATAAATTGAATTATTAATCTTTATGTTATATGAATTATTATTCTAAAAAAGAAAAAACAAGAAAAACTATGATTATTAATAAGGATATGTTATAAGAAGAAGAAAAAAAAAATGTTAAAAAATGATTATTGTGAGGGTTGCTTGGCCGAACGTACGGAGGCCCCTAAGCTGACCCCTGAACGTTCGGGCGTTCGGGTCTCCGTACGGGGCCCGAACGTGAAGGGGTTTGGAACCCGCAAAAAAATATTTTGGCACTGAAATATTTTAATTTTTTCTGAATTTTGTTTTATGAGTTCTTTGTGATGTAACGTGTCTCCCGATTGATTTTAAAATCATTTTGTTCAGCCAAAACAAAATGAAAAATCCTCAAAGGTGGTAGTGTCAAAACTTGCTTGCCGACTCAAAAAATTGTTTTTTCTCTCCTTTAACTTTTTGTTTTTCCTTTATTTCGGGACATAAAACAATTTATTATTTTTTTAATATTTGTTTGTAGATTCTCTATTATTTAAGATACACATATAGAAATTTTCATGGCATATGTCACAGCCAAAAAAAAATGAAAAATCGCCAAAGATGGCAGTGTCAAAAACGTGCTCGCCCATTCAATAATTTAATTTCTGTTTTATTTTTTCTAATTTTTATTATTATTATTTATTTTAAAAATTTGATTTTTATTTCAAATTTGGATATAACCTTGAGGCAAATGTTGTTTAGTTTATTCTTCCGCATAACATATATTTTTTCTGAATTTTTTGGATTTTTTATTTTTTTTATTTTTTTATCTGCTTTCGGCCGAACGGCTGAACGCATCGAGAGGGGGTGCCAAAAGTTCGGGCGTTCGGCTTCGGGCGTTCGGCCCGTCCCTAACACCGGCAACCCTGATTATTGTCATATTTTATATTACAATACAATATAATAAATCAATTTTTATTTTTTATATTAATATACTAAGATATATTATTTTTCCAAAAATAAAAGTAGAATAATGACAACTAAGTAATAATAATAATAATCAAGAAATACTTGAGAATATAATAATATATTTATCGAGACAAAAAAAAAGTTGAAGTACTTCAATTTTTTTTTTTTTTTCATAAAAAAAAGAAAAAGAATAATAAAAAAAAAAGGTATGAAACTCAGGTATATTAACAATGCCACAATTTATATGATATATTGATTCTATAAATAGATGTATCTACTATTATTATTAGTAAGGATATGTTATAAGAATGATAATGTTTATATTAAGAAATCAATATTATTGATTTTTATGTTAAAATGCAGTATAACAAATCATTTTTTATTTTTTTTATTTATATATTAAAATATATTATATTTAAAAGAATGAAAGTCGAATGATGATAATTGAGTAATAATGATCATACAAATAATTATAATTGAGAGCAGGGTCACCAGCCCGTACGTACGGAGGTCCCCGGCCAGACCTCCGTACGTATGGGCGTTCGGGGTCCCGTACAGTGTCCGAACCCAACGGCGTTCGGCCCCCGCCAAAAAATATTTCGGGGCCTAAAACTAATTAGTTTTTTCTGAATTGCTTTTTGTGAATTCTCTATGACGTGAGGTACATGCCTCTAAATTGTCAAGTCATTGGTTTAAGCTAAATAAAAATTAAAAATCGCCAAAGATGACGATGTCAAAACGTGCTCGCCCACGTATTTTCTCACTTTTTACTTTTTGTTTTCACTTTAGTTTGGGGTCTAAACAATTTTATTATTTTCTTGAAACTTTTTTAGTGGGTTTTGTATTATGTGAAGTACACATCTTTAAATTTTCAGGGCATTTAGTCATGCAAAAAAAAAAAAAAAGAATTGGCAAAGATGGTGGTGTCGAAAACATGCTCGCGCACTCACTAAATTTAATTCACTTTTAATATTTATTTATTTTTATTATTAGTATTTATTTTCCGTATTTTATTTTTATTTCAAATTTGGTAAGGAATTCGGAAATTATGCACAGACAAATCTTGTTTAATTTAATTTTCTCCATAACATATTATTTTTTCAGATGTTTTTGATGACTTTTTTTTTTTT